TAAGGATTCTGATTCACACGAATTAGAGGAGACACAACTTGAAGTTTAAATTTTATCATATAAGGATGCCCATACACACTTAGAGATAGCAATTTCAACTATCATCAGAATGATTTCCTCAACAACACATTTGTGAGGAGGATTATGTCTTGGAACATAATCTATACAATTTGAAAGACTGTGATGAAATTTCGTGGTACGATTCAGGTCTAGGTTTGTCAGAGGCGGAAGAGGTGTCGAATCAAGACACTTGACAACAATTGGCTGAAACTCAAGAATTAAGGAATCAAAGTGATTTTCATTTTCGTGAAGAGGTGACAAGGGAGAAACGGAGGTGTCCGAATGTTTGATGTTCGGAACCTTTCCCATGAATGTCAGATTTTGCAATTCCTTCAAAGGACGAACAACTGGCTTAGGAAACTCACTTTCGAGGCCATGTGCTTTGGACCATGGATGACGAAAATTATGAGTCATCCGAATATCCACTTCAAGTATGTCTAAGGAATTATGCAATGCATCTTTCTTAGCATCAAGACGTTTGTAATCAGAGATCAAAACATTTCGTTCGGAATAGGTGATTTCACTTTTATCTTTCAAAATGATACATTCATCATTTGACATTACAAGTTCATGCTCTAAAGACTCGATTTTCAATTTTTTTTCCCTCAAACCGTAACTTAAGAAGATTTAACTCGATTTCCTTCTTCAAACTGGCTTCTATGGATGACTCATAGGCTTTGAAAATGATGTTCATGTCTGATTGGATCTGAGTTAGATATGGTTCACAAACAGATAAATCAAAATTATTTTCAGTAATCATAATTTTTACCTGTTGAATGGTGCTTCTCCCTGGTGGATCGTTAGTAGCCATATAGCAATTGTTGGGTTCAACATCTTCATCTTCCCTTTCAGATTCAGATGACCAATAGCCTTCATCACACTCTATTTCTTCACGAGCCATGAGAAACATGTTTCTTCCAACCATTGACTCATCATCATCCCCAGATGACCAGTAGCCTTCCACATCTCTTGAAGCCGTTGCTACACATGCTTTTTCACTTTCAACCATCTCTTGAGATTTTCGGATGTAGTAGGCAGAATCCTTGATTTTTGGTTTCTGCTAAGCATCAACAAGACAATCTTTAGCAAAATGGTTTGCATGTCCACACTTGTGACACACAATTTTTGGTTTGGCCGATTTGGAACACTGGGAGGGTTCTGGAGCATAGTTTGGCTTAGAGAGGTTTGGTTTGTATGCAAGAGGATTTTCCAAAGTTGATTTATGTTCCAGGGCTAGGTGTGGTTGAGGATTGTTATGGTGAGGAGCTTGAAATCTATTTTGGTATGGTTTGAAGGAAGGGTTTAAAGTAAGTTTGTATTTCATTAAGAGAAGAGCAAACTCTTGTTGAAACCGGAGTTCAGAGTCCATGGCTTCAGAATCATCTGGAGGATAGATTTATGTAGGTGAAATGGGTATGGATTGAACAGATGGAACAATGGATTTGAAGGAATCCGGAGTAGACAGGTTCAGGATGGTTGAATCAAAAGAACTAACTAGGGAAAGGGGTCCTCCGTAGACTTCCCTTAAGGTTTATGCAACATTAGATTCACGTCCTTGAAGCTCATCAAAGAGTTGATAGAACTTCAACTTTTTCAAGGAACCATTGCTTTGCTGATAGGATTTCACATTTCCCCATGCTTTGCGTAGACTGTTTATGTATTTAAGATTGTACTCCAATGGAGTTCGGACAATCCCATGAGCAGTCATGTTGTTGACCACAATTCGGTAACACTAGGAGGTTGAGGCCACTGATTCTCTAGGAGTGGTTGTGAAAGTATCAGAGTTGTTGATGACTAAAGTAAGGCGCTTGTCTTTCATATTTTCTAAACCTTCAATCAAATCCTGAAGAGTTTTCCAAATCTCTTTGGCTGATTTGCACAGCTTGACGTGCTCGAAGAGTGTGGGAGGAACACCAAACACCATTTCTGAGAAATCAACTTGATCAGCATGCTACTTCTCAATATCATCCGCAGTTAGAGGAACTGGACGATTTTCATCTTGACCCATAAGTTAAGCAGCAACATCTCTCACAGTGGTTCTTACAGGAACATGAGGACCTTCTTTGATGGATCTCCATATTTCTTCACCTTTATCTTTGGCCAATAGAAATATTTCCATTCTAACTTTCTAGTGATCATACTATTCCACAACTAGTAATGGAGCATGTGTAGGACCTCCCACACTATTTGCGATTTGCATGGAAATCATTTGTTGAGGATTAGAAGCAGCCATTGAAGTTAAGATATCTTCAAGCTAAAGTGGTATATAGAAGAAATTTTATCCTTATCACATAAATGGTTAAAATACCAGGGTAAATTTAAACTAACTAAAATTTGATCTTATGGATTCAAAGGAAAACTACTCAAGCTCTGATACCAATTGAGAGAACAAGAATGATCTGATGCATAGGGACTAGGTTTGAGAATTCAAACCTTGAGTGAATGCTTAAGATCAATGTCTGCTTACTAATATATGTTCAAGTCAAGCCTGGAAAGACCAGTCAAGTCTTAGATAATGTTTTCGACAAATGATCAAGTCATTACATGAAGAATGAGACAAAATCATCAAAGTTAAGCTAATAAATGAATAACAAGAAGAATGTTTTGAAAGAAGTTTGAGATAACTTAGTAAAAGCCAAAAGTTGAGTGAATGATCCGTACTTGATTTTTGCATTGAAAGCTTCTATAAATAGGAGAGGAGGTTACAAAAAATTAACTTGAGAACTTACATAGAACTGGAAAATAGAAATGTTTCTAACATTCTGATTGTCTAGTATTACACAAAACTAGGTCCCATGAAACGTTACATCAATACAAAGATAATGTTCATATATGCATAAAGACAGAACAAGTTGATTTCGGATTGGCATCCATTCCGGAATGAGAGTCATTCTGGAATGTCTTCACTTTAACTTTTCTTCTTCTCCTCTTTTTCCGGACCACTCTTCTTATTTGACTCCGGAGCATTATCCATTTTGGAATATCTCCACTTCAGAATTTGAGCTTAGGATTGCTAAGGGTTCACTTTCAGGTTCCAATAGTAATTGGTGATCCAGATATTTTATTCAACAAGATGAGGGAATTACACTAAAAGAAAAGATTGAAATCTGTCTACTCTACCTAAGAAACCTCATCTCATTTAGTGACTATATCTGCCTCTTTTACTCAAAAATGAATATTACATGACTATTTATAGAGTACAAACAAGTCTAGGCCAATAACCCATATGTCATAAAAGGAAGGACCTTGTCATTATCCATGGAATACTTTGAACCTTACATTCTCCCTCTCACATTATGGAATGGATGACAAGGCTTCAACTTCCAAAACAAGCCTTTAGCAAATAAGAAGAGATGTTGTGACGAGGAATATTGAAGCAATCCACGAGTCTTGATTCTTCAATTGTATTCAAAATGGCTTCTAGGATATAGAAATACGAAACCAAGTATTAAAGTAATATTTTTTCAATTTCATCTTCTAATGTAATCCCAAAGATTGTCAAGAAATCCAAACCCACCATGAAAACCCATTTCAGAATTAAAAAAACCAAATCATTTCTTATCTTGAAGATCCCCCCCCCCCTTCCAAGTCACAATTATCTTTTCTTATTTGCTAGAGGTTTGTTTTGGAAGTTGAAGCCTTGTCTTCCATTCCATACTTTGAGGGGGAGAATGTAAGGTTCAAAGTATTCCATGGATGATGACAAGGGAGCTTTTTTATGACATGTGGGTTATTGGCCTAAACTTGTTTGTACCCTATGATCTTCAAATATGCTAAAGATATAAGTCACCAAAAAAATATCATGTAACAAATCAAGTTCAAGATTCGTAACTTCACTTGATCGAGAAATCTCTAGAAGTCATAGTCAATCAAAGTACCACGATAATTAGTAGAACGTTTAGGATCCCCGTGCTAAAGTTCACCAATACCTAAAAATGATATACCCACTTTCATATCGCTGCCACAAGCTTCATAAAAAATCTCCAATTTTATAAATCACAATCCAATTTCGAATGCCATATCAAATTCTCCCCCTTTATGTCAAATATAGGGAGGACTTCTTTAATGTATTTTTGCATCAAATACTTTTGGCATAATCTTTAGAAGTGATCCTCGAACTGACAAATACCAATGTATCATATGTGAATCATATTTTACATCAGCAGCAGAATTGGCTTTGTGAGCTTCTGTAGAGGACAAGATTGTTTTCAGAGCCGTTGATGAGTACATGTGTTTGTCCATTAAAAAGAATATGGAGTTCTAAACCACTTCACATTCCTTTCTCTTGTAAACAATTATCTAATGCTTCTTCTGAATGACACCTACCCTCAAATGTTGGATATTATTAGGTTGTTCTTTTTGTTTCATAATAGGCCTCTTCTTCAAAACTAGTGTGATCTCAATATCCATCTTCGCAATTTCAAGGATGTAACATTTGATCATCCTTTTCAAGTGTGAAATAATTGGCTCATATCTCTTCTTGTCTCTTGTAAAAATGTAGAATAAGGAGATCCCATCATATGGGTTCATGAATGGCAAATTTGCCTAGGGGAACTCATATAAAACATGCTTAGCACCTCAGACTCCCTTGAACTATATATTCAACAAATCTTCAATCTAAACAGGCAACCAAACCTTCAATGTCATGATTCTTTTTAATTACATGTCTCATATTGCGGTTTTGCATATTTCAAGTAAAACAAAAAAACTTATGATTTACAGCACTGTATGAGATCAAGGACTTTTTCAATCTTTTTGAAACACTTGAAAATGAAGGCTCTTGATGTGATGGGAGAATCGAACTAACATTACACATCATTGTTAATGTCAAAAGAGGTTGTTGACTCCAGCCAGTAGAGATTCGAATCATCCATGTCTTATTTCTGAATACACTCATGAGACCAGGCAGGAAATGGAGATTTCTGAGTTTCCAGAATCAGTTATGCATTCTTTGCTTCAAATTCTTCTGCCTCTAATTTCTTCTGAAGAGCATTGAGTTCGTCAAGGTCTTTGTCTTTTTTCTCTCTTTCTGCTTGTTCTGACTCAGCCATGTTTGCATTTTCATCAATTTCTTCTTCTGAAATACCTTTACCTTTATCTTTTCCTAATCTAGAAGCTTCATTATCCTTCCAATTAGTTTCGACCTTTATCTTTTCTTCCAAGCCCCACCTCACGAAACACCATGTATCTGATTTAGCATGGCGAATATAGGTTGAAGCTTTTCAGAGAGATTCTATCTTACAGTGACAATGAATGAGGAATCATGAGTTTCAACGATTCATATCAAGTATTGGTTGATTTCAGAAATGCACCCTTTAACTAAAGATCTCCCTTCTTCAAGTTAGGCAATGTACTGGATAGCATTCTTTAGCTTCACAGTGAGAACCTTAGTTTTCTGTGTTTTCTCAACCAATTCATCGATGATATTATTTTCAATAGCCAAATTGGATTACAACTTAGTGATATGTGATGTGATGGATGAATTGAGATCATCATTGTCAAGCTTGACCTCGGCATGGAGCTTAGATAGGGCTTCTTTCTCGGCTTTTAACGATGAACGAAATCATTCAATCACCTTATTCATGTATGTTGTCTTTTTATCAGAGGAGATTCGGAAATCATTCTTGAATTCTTTCACCTCTTGATGTAGTTTTTCGACGTTTCTAGTCACTTCAGAAATCCTCTTTTTAGAATTATGGATGACCTTGGAGGATTCTTCAATGAATTTCGCATTTATGGAGGCGAGTATCTCAATAGTGGCCCTGTGAGTGGTGAACAGATTCTCCCACTTTGTTGAAAAGAATGTGTTAGAATGCTCTAGGATCGAGTCCAGCTTCACATTCAACTTCTTGAGTTGACCCTTCGTCATTAGAGCGTCATCTTTGTCACTATGGATATAGTGAATGGACTGAAGACAAAATCAGTAAATGTTTATTGATATTCTTCAAACAAGATATCTTCATCATTGTTGAGAGGAGGAGCAATTGATGTGCCTGTTTCGGAAGTGACAGCGAAATTGAACCCCCCCCCCCCCCCCCGCATCAGATGCATTGACAGAAATTCCTAAAGTTTGTATCTCCTCTTAAATGGATTTTAATATAGGGACTTCCAGTTGAGTTGAGACAATTAAGGTTGTGGGTGTCATGGAGTTGGTAAAGATTGTTGAGGAAAGTGGAATTGAAAGTGTGGGTAGTGAGGTTTGAATATATGTTGTTGTTAGGGCAGTTGAGGGTAAGGGTGGAATGGATGAGATCAGAATTGTTGTAGAGATGGGTGAGGTAGTTGTTTCGGTAGATAGAGGGTTATATGGTGGTGGTGGAGGTTCATTAGTGAAGTTTAGAAACGATTCTCAGATAATCGAGTCAAAAATATCCAAGGTGGGAGTAGATGAGGAAGGAGGGGATAATACCTTTGGAATAGGTTTTGAAGTTGGAGGTTGTGAAGTGTGGGTTGTATCCTCCTGCTCATGATGTTGATTGTTAGTTACATTGTCACACCCTAAAACCGAACGGCGGAAAACGTTTTGGGGTGTAGGAAGTTATGTACAGTATCACAACACAGAATAATAGTAAACAAGCAAACAACATCATCCATTGCATTAATAATGTATTTTAATACAATTGTTCTGAACAGTTTATAAGACACCAAAATAATAGATGAGTCTTGAATGTGCTCCAAAATCCAAAATAACAGATGAGTCTTGAATGTGCTCCATCTTTTCAAAAGCTGGCATCGGTACCCTTTCTACTGATGATCTGAGAATACAAGTTATTTTGAAAGAGTTTATTAGCTTTAAAGCTGGTGAGTTCATAAGAATTTTAGTGTCGCTGATTGTATGAAAATGTTTGTAAGTGTTTGAATGTATAAGTTTGTAAAAGTTTGTAGATGGTTGTAAATGTTTGTAAATGTTTGATCTCCTAGAAAATCCTTTATTTTCTACTAAAAGTCGTCTTCTACAAAGGCCAGACTGTTTTGTATGTTAGTTCTTGTAAAAGTGTGTAATTTTCCCAAGTGTGACTATCATTAACAAAATATAGTTTATACATTACCGTTTATGTTAGAAGATCACAAAGTGAATGCAATGGGAAAATAATATAGTATTGTAGTGTCGTATTATAGTAACTATTGTCGTACTAACTACCTTAAACCGGATTTTTATCAAGGTATAATGTGATTTAATTGTACCATACTATCGACTAAAAACAATACGATGAAAGATGTCGGAAGTAATGACATTTGGCACCCGAAGACCTGCAGGTCCCATTGTAGCTAGCAACAAGGTGTAGGGTAGTCAATCCAGTATAGATCTACATGCAAATTCACGCTCTCCCTCCAGGAGACTCTGGATACAAATCGAGCCACGGCAGTGATGACATGCCCCGAATCAGTGGTTCACATTTATGTTATAGTATACTTGTATATGTATTGTATGTACTAGTGTAGTGTATGCATTGTTTCTCGTTATAGTATTCTCTATCAGTTTCTCTTCATAGTATGTATGTATAGTTTCTCATAGTAGTAATTTCTCTTAGTTTGTCATTATAGTATAGTTGGATAGTTTCTCATAATAGTAAGTATTGACTCATGAATTAACTGACTCTTTGTATGCTTCATTGAATTAGAACTAATGAGTAGTATATCCCTAAACTATACCTATTATAGTTTACTAGTAGAATTTTGTTGTATGACTAAATGTATTGAACTGAGATAAAAGCCTTTATATCTATACATATATACATAATATATAACTAAGGATCCAAAGACACCCGGACAAACAACAGGGTACTTTAAGTCTACAACCAAACAAGGAACAAGAATTAAAGTGAGTTATCAATCCTCAGTCCTTCAAACCTTACTTATATAACTATATATGTATCAAACATGGTTTTGAAAATATATAAGTTTGAAAGCTGTAAAAGAAAAGGTTTGATCTATAAAAGTGAGTTTGGTAAACAGTTTGTCATGTAGAAGAGTTTGATAACAGTTTGAAGCAGTTTGCTTGGTAAAATAGTTAAAAGTATAGTAAATCCATTTGTTTGATAGTTATTAATCACATGTGATTGATGTAATAACTATAAGGTGTCAACTTGTATTCCCCCCATAAAAGCATTTAAAATCATTTAAAAGGTTGATTAAGGGGTATGAACTCACCTGTAGTAACTCGGATGAAAGAATGATACAAGATTGTTGGGTGTCGATTGGAGACTTGAGCACAACTGAATCCTATTAACCATATGATGACATATATATATATATATATATATATATATATATATATATATAATTAGTGCTTATAACAACTAATTATTGAATTTGAACCATCTTAGGGACTAGTAAACACTTATTTTGAAGTGTTACAACCATATATGATTTCATATAAGGGATATATGGCCTTATAACGGAGTGTATGGTCAAAATACACACTATTTGTGTGTGTGCGGCCAGGATGTGTGTGCGGCCGCACACTCCCCATGAAGTGTGCCAAAATGCAATGTAAGGCCTTAGGACTCATCTAGGAAGTTTTCTTACTTCATGAAGTATGCGGCCACCATGAAGGTGTGCGCCCGCACACCCTTTATGAAGATGATAAACTCCAGTTTTTCAAGCATACCATTTAGTGTTCTTAGCATATAACAAGGTATAACAAGTATATACACGTTATAGATACTTGAAAAGGGTGATTTAAGTCCAAACTTAGTGTGTGTTCTTGGTGTTCTTGGTGTTTTTGAAGATCTAACACCAAAAAGGTATTTTCATGGATCAAATCAAAGGGGAAGGCTAGTTAAGGTCATGCAATAGAAAATTAATGGATGAATCACTTACTTGTTTAAAGATTGGAGTGAAAGTTGGATGATATTGTTGGAATAGTGTCTAAGGCTACAACTATATTAGGCAAGTATTTGACCCGGTTGTGCATGATCCTTTTGGGTTGCCTTCACCATAGCAACTTGATAGAATGATTTATTAAGAGAGAGTTAATATTATTAGTATATTATGAGAATAATATAAAGAATAATATATAGTTATTTGATTAATATAAGTCATAGAATTAATTGGAATTAATTTGGTGACTTAAAGAGATTAATTAAATAAGAGGGTATAAACTGTCAATTGTTTGATAGTTACACTTTAGACTATAAATCCTTATCCAAGATAGGATGGACGATTTCTAGGGCTTGGATAAGCCAAAAATCGTCCATAGGGTTATCAAGGAAAGGATATGGATTAACTTAAAGTCTAAGTTATTCAATTAGGGTTAAAGTTGTAATCCTTAAGGAGTCTACAAGTATAAATAGACCCTAGGGGTGAGGGAATTCGACACACCATCTAAAGTAGAGACACTCTGGCCTAATTCCTCTCCTCTCCTCTCTCCCAAATCATCCTCCTTGCTATTGGTGTTTGTAAGCCATTAGAGGAGTGACAATTGTGACTCTAGAAGCTCCATGACAACAAGATCAACAAGGAATCAAGAGGTATGATTCTAGATCTGTTTCAATATTGTTTTTACATCTAAATAGTCATTAGAAGTCTTGGATTCAAAGCATGTTTGATTAGAAAGCCTAGATCCGAGCATTAGGGTTTTGCATGCGCACATAGGAAAGTTCTTATGGCTAAAACCCATCAGTGGTATCAGAGCCTTAATCAAGCAAAAGTCAGAAACCTTTGAAAAGTTCAAAGAGTTTAAGAGTGAAGTGGAGAATCAATTGGGCAGGAAGATCAAGATGCTTCGATCCGATCGAGGAGGAGAGTACCTAAGTCTTGAACTCTACAATTATCTCAAGGAGTGTGGAATAGTTTCACAATTGATGCCACCTAGGACACCACAATTGATGGTGTGGCAGAAAGGTGTAACCGAACCTTGTTGGACATGGTTCGCTCTATGATGAGTCGTGCTTCGCTATATATCTCTTTTTAGGGGTATGCCTTAGAGACTGCCGCCCATATCCTTAACCGAGTCCCTACTAAGAAGGTTTCCAAAACACCTCACGAGATGTGGATGGGGAAAGCTCCTTCGTTAGCACATATCAAGGTTTGGGTTGTGAGACTTTCGTAAGACGAGATACTCACGACAAGCTCGAACCTCGTAGTGAGCGATGTATTTTCATCGGCTACCCGCAGAAATCCTTTGGATATCTCTTCTATACACCGAAGGACAATGTTGTCTTTGTTGCGAGGAGAGGAGTTTTCCGAGAACGTGAACTCATAGGCCAAGGAGATAGTGGGAGGCAAATCGATCTTGAAGAGATTCAGGAGTCGATAAATGAAGGAACCTCTACCGCTAGCACTCAACCCGAGGAGGAAACTCTGGTTGAACCAATTGACATATCATTACCTCTTAGACGTTCCGAAAGAGTTAGGTTTCAACCCCAGATATATGGTTTTCATATTACTACCGAAGGGGACACGTATATTAGTGATAGTACACTAATAAATCTTGATGAACCCAATAGCTATAAGGAAGCCATGGCAGGCCCGGAGTCTGCGAAATGGAAAGAGGCAATGGATAGCGAGATCCAATCCATGTATGATAACCAAGTTTGGAATTTGGTTGATAATGTGCCTGGTCGTAAGACCGTTGGGTGCAAATGGATCTTCAAGAAGAAGACCGACGTGGATGGAAAGGTACACACATTTAAAGTGCGACTAGTTGTGAAGAGCTTTACTCAAACTCCCGGAGTTGACTATGAAGAGACCTTCTCACCAGTTGCGAAGATAAAATCTATTAGAGTGATGCTAGCTATTGTTGCATTTCATGATTATGAGATTTGGCAAATGGATGTCAAGACCACTTTCCTTAAAAAAAAGTTGGCTGAGGATGTTTACATGGCTCAGCCAGAGGGGTTTGTGGATCCGAAGCATCCGAATAGAGTGTGTAAGCTTGAGAAGTCCTTTTATGGGCTAAAGCAAGCATCTCGTAGATGGAATCTTTGCTTCGATGAGAAAGTCAAAGAGTTTGGATTTGTACGAAGCGAAGATGAGTCATGTGTATATGTCAAAGCCAGTGGGAGTGTAGTAAGCTTTCTCATTCTATATGTCGATGACATATTACTCATAGGAAACTACGTCTCGACTCTGCAGGAGGTTAAGTCCTGGCTCGGGAAGTGCTTCGCTATGAAGGACCTCGGAGAGGTTTCCTATATTTTGGGAATAAGGATAGTGAGAGAAAGAAGTAAGAGACTGATAGGACTTAGTCAGAACACTTACTTAGAGAAGGTACTAAAACGTTTTAGTATGGAAAACTCGAAGAAGGGAGAATTACCGATACAAAGCAATGCCAAGTTGAGTAAGACTCAAAGTCCGAGTACCGAAGCTGAGATAGCTGATATGAGCTGAGTTCCATACGCTTCCGCAGTTGGCTCAATCATGTACGCTATGACTTGTACTCGCCCTGATGTAGCCTTTGCTTTGAGCATGCTTAGTAGATATCAAGGAAACCCTGGAAAAGCCCATTGGGTTGCGGTGAAGAACATCCTTAAGTACCTTCGGAGGACGAAGGAATGGTTCCTAGTTCTCGGAGGGAGTGATGACTTGAAGGTGCGAGGGTATAGTGATGCCAGTTTTCAGACCGACAGGGACAACTACAGTTCGCAGTCGGGCTGGGTCTTTACCCTGAATGGAGGAGCAGTAACTTGGAAGAGTTCCAAGCAGGAAACCGTAGCTGATTCAACGTGCGAATCAGAGTACATCGCAGCAAGCGAAGCGTCGAAAGAGGCAATATGCCTAAAGAACTTCATCGGTGATCTTGGAGTTGTACTAGCCATAAAGGAGCCCATGGAGATTTTCTGTGATAACGAATGAGCAGTTGCCTTGACCAAGGAACCGAGGGATCATGGTAGATCAAGACATATCGACAAAAAATATCACTTTATTAGACACCGTGTAGAAGAAGGACAACTCGTAGTAAAAAGGATATCATCGGAAGATAACCCAGCAGATCCGCTTACGAAGGGATTGAGTAGGGTTAAGCACTTGCAGCATGCTAGGAGCATCAGGCTGAAGGATGATGTTAGCATAGATTAGATAGTATTAGAAATGTGTAATAGATAAATGTAATTGACATTTTGATGATTAAATAAAGGAGTTTTATTTATAAGTAATGTTACTATCTTATGTTAATTGGTTAACCATTGTTTCACTTTGCATGTTTTGACTTCCAGAATAATTGAGTTTATTAGGAATAATTGAATTATCCAAATTGTCCACAATCGTTCATATGTTGGAAGTAGATATGAATGAAGATTGTCATGAATAGGTGTGTAGAGTGTCTAAATGGTTTTAGACATAGCAAAAGATTGCTACAACGTTCATGAGTGCTTATGAACTAGTTTGAGCATTGGAACAAACTCGCGCTTGCTGGAATCACCTTATGGAATGTGATAGTAAAAGGGTGATCACAAGATGATAATATCATATAGTCTTAAAACCTAGATATATGGTTTGTTATTGGTTAATTGATTGTACACTGATAATGCGAAAACGCATTGGTAACTCGATGTTATAAAACGCATTGTTGTGTATAGTTGGTTAATGAATAAGTAAATGCATATAAGTCGAAGTTTATCTGTAACTTTTATCCTAAGAAAGAAAAAGTGATATCTTGTCCGCTTGATGATTTGATTTGACTTATGTGCCGGGCCCGGTTAGAATTGAATTGATGTGTTCGATTAAGTTCTATGTCAAATAAATCGGAAATCGAGAAACCAAATGCTTGACTGACTGTTCCATAGTATTGTCAGCATGATATCTAACAGAGGACTGTAAGATCCCTTATCTAAAGGACAAGATTGATTAGATCAGAGTTTGACAACGTCTTTGAGAGCTACGATTGCAAACCAAATTGTACTTGCGCTTATAGTTACTAGACTTATCCAAGTGGGAGACTGTTGGAATAGTGTCTAAGGCTACAACTATATTAGGCAAGTATTTGACCCGGTTGTGCATGGTCCTTTTGGGTTGCCTTCACCATAGCAACTTGATAGGATGATTTATTAAGAGAGAGTTAATATTATTAGTATATTATGAGAATAATATAAAGAATAATATATAGTTATTTGATTAATATAAGTCATAGAATTAATTGGAATTAATTTGGTGACTTAAAGAGATTAATTAAATAAGAGGGTATAAACTGTCAATTGTTTGATAGTTACACTTTAGACTATAAATCCTTATGCAAGATAGGATGGACGATTTCTAGGGCTTGGATAAGCCAAAAATCGTCCATAGGGTTATCAAGGAAATGATATGGATTAACATATAGTCTAAGTTATTCAATTAGGGTTAAAGTTGTAATCCTTAAGGAGTCTACAAGTATAAATAGACCCTAGGGGTGAGGGAATTCGACACACCATCTAAAGTAGAGACACTCTGGCCGAATTCCTCTCCTCTCCTCTCTCCCAAATCATCCTCCTTGCTATTGGTGTCTATAAGCCATTAGAGGAGTGATAATTGTGACTCTAGAAGCTCCATGACAACAAGATCAACAAGGAATCAAGAGGTATGATTCTAGATCTGTTTCAATATTGTTTTACATCTAAATAGTCATTAGAAGTCTTGGATTCAAAGCATGTTTGATTAGAAAGCCTAGATCCGAGCATTAGGGTTTTGCATGTGCACATAGGAAAGTTCTTATG